CCCCAAAACCCCAAAACCCCAAAACCCCAAAACCCCAAAACCCCAAAACCCCAAAACCCCGTTGCTTAATTATTTTATTGAGAAAAGTTGGGTGGATGAGGTAACCTCCAAATTACAACCATCATTAACTCCTAAACCTCCTTTCCAACTCCCAATCTTAACCTCTATCTCTCCCAGTCCCTACATCTCCACTCCTCTGCCTTTTCAACATCTTCATAATTAGTCACAATCAACCAGGCCCAAAGCAAACTGAGTCCTTCTCAGCACAGAACAAAAGTTATAATAGAGCTCCAAGGTTTCATATTTTCTCATACAGATCAACAGAAGAAAGAAGGAAAATAGGATTTGAGATAAAAGAGTAATTTGAAAAATATTGACAAATTTTATGAGGTTAAGAGAGCAGGATCTTAATACGAGAGATGTGACTACTGAGTTCATCATTCTCCTTTTGAAGCCTCCTGATTTCTTCGTCTTTGGATTTGTATATCTGTTTTTGCTTTGTAATATATTCCTTTTTGAGTCCTTTTTCGATCTTGTGCTTGCTTGTTTTTATTTCTAGGGATGAAAACAAATAAAATACCTTTCTTAAGTCTATCTATGAGCCTCTTTTCAAATTCTTCATCACTAAGTGCTAGCTCTTTCTCCAGTTCCTCCAACTTTTTCTGTAGCTCTTTTTCATCTTGAGTTGTATCAAAATTCTCGATTTCCTTTCCTCACATCACTTGCTCTTCTGGCTCTTGAGCTTCTTCCTTTATTGACTCTTTGACTTCTTCATGCTTAGATTGATCTTTCACTGCTGATATATCATCATTTCTCCACTTTCTACTCTTATTGAGCTCCTTGTCAATAGACTTGACAATCGGGTCGATATCTTGCTCATAAGCTGACCCATTTTCTTGACTCAGTTTCACAAATTTCTTTCTTAGCCCTCTGAGGATATTCAAGGACTTATTTTAACTCTTTCTCAACTGATTTCTCTGTCTCTGGAGCATTGTTTTTCCGTAATTTGCCAAGTTCAGCTTCTTTTTGGCTTAGATCTTCTTCGAGGCTGGCTTTGAGTTCTTTAAGTTTCTTGATCTGGATTCTGACAATAGTTTTAGTGACACCGTCTTCAGGAGCACCGGTAATGAATCTTTCATCTAGAATAAAATTTCCTGGCTTACTATCTGATTTATGATGAGACATCATCTTTCAACTTCTGCATACAAGATTGGTATTCTTAGTGGTTTTTGCTTGACCCTTATGACTACTCTTTACTCTTTTTGACATGAAAGAGGTTTTAGCTAGAGAATTAGTGATGTTTAAGTACGCTTTCCTGACTTGATTTTATTCATCAACATTTTCTTGATCTTGTTCACTTCTGGCATCAAATTTGTTTTGTTAAATACCCTGATTTCATCATTTTGAGTTAGAATCCTTTCAGCTGTGAAGATATCATTTTCTTGTTCCTTATATCTACGGTATAGGCTAAATTTGTGAGAGATCAAAGCATACTTCTCAATCTTCATTTGTTCTGATTTTAATCGTTTTATCTCGTCAAGATCTTTACGATTTGACTTCTTTAGTTCAGTAATTTCAGAAATTAGGTCCTCTTGGTTCATGTTTTTGGGCTTGTTCCCAACTCCAAAACTTTGGTTTCCAAATTTAGGCTTTGACAAAGACCCATGCCTGCCCACAAATCTAGAATTATGAGCATGACTAGGCTTCTTGTCTATAATCTCTGTAGCATCGTATTCATTCAGGCTAGGATGGAATCCGATACTTTGCTTATTCTGAGAATTTTCTTTAGACATATATCTATTGGCAGAATCTGTCTTTTGCGAATTAGTTGTTTGCTTAGCAGTGCCTTCATCTACCTCTTCAATCTCCTGCATTTCTCTAATAGCAGCTCTAGAGATAAGAATAAATACTTACTTTTCAGCCCCTTCATAGTACACATTTTCTTGTCCAAATGGGTTTCCTTCGCTCTGAATATTAATCTTCCCAAGTTCTTCGAGATCTTGGTCATCTTCAAAGTCGAATTCAAAATTATCTTTTGACATTTTAAATCAATTATTCCAATTTTAACCCAAAAATAAGGGGTTTTGGGGTTTTGGGGTTTTGGGGTTTTGGGGTTTTGGGGTTTTGGGG